TTCGAATAAGGTAAGTACATGACAGCTATCACTCCTAGTACCCAATGTCTCAAGATAATTTTTGACATATTTTGAGGATAAAATGAAAGTTATAATTTTCCATTCTACCAACAAAAATCCCCTGAACTATTAGACCAAGGGATGCCCCTTCTTTCAGGAAACTCCTGTAGCATTCTTAGTGACATGTGAAATCGCTTTTATTTAAATGCTGCTAAATATTCCTTCTTAACTATGACTGGTGTTCTCTCTTCAGGTGAACAGATCATCTTCTAACGTTAGGAACATGCTGCCCAGTGTTGTGATACACCTATAGCATCCACCTCCCTTACTGCCACGTGGTGCCTTCTCCATGCTTGTCTGTCTATTAAACAAGGCATGACAGAGAAGTATGAAAGTCTGCAAATGTTTTACGGTATGAGAACCTTCCACCTTCCTGGCAAACGAAATCATTACTATAAATTTGGCCATTGCTTCATTGTAGATATAAATCCATTTGAAAGCTTCTTAAAGCAGATGTCATCAAACTTTTTTCTAAAGGGCAAAATAGTAAATATTTTAGGCTTTGGAGGCCATACAGTCTATGTTTGAACTACTCAACTCTGCCTCTGCAACATGGTGGAAACAGTACATAAACAAATGAGCATACATATATTCCAATAAAACTTCATTTACAAAAAAATAAGTGGCAGGCAAGATTTCACCCACCGATAATAATTTACAGGCCCCGCTCCTCAAGTGTGAAAAACAATGAACATTTTAAATGGTTTCTATTGAAGTACAAGAGTGTAGGTAAGGAAATTAGAGGATAGAAAAACAATAGCTAACATCAATGAACCAGGCTGGCTCTTCAAAAAGATTAACAAAATTAACATACCTTTGGCTAGATTGACTAAGAAACAAAAATGTCTCAAATTACCAAAATCTAAAATAAAATGGGGACATCACTACTGATTTTCAGAAACAAAGAAAAAAGGTTATTAAAGAGTATTATAAAAAATTGTATAGAGCAGATGGCATAAACTAGGTGAAATGATCAAATTTCTAGAAACACGCAACCTACCAAGACTGATGCATGAAGAAACAGAAAATCTTAATGGGTATATGACTTATATACAAATTGAATCAGTAATCAAAAAATTACCAACAGAGGAATGCCCAGGACCAGGCAGTTTCACTAATGAATTCTATCAAACATTTAAAGAAGAATTAACACCAATCTTTCTCTTCAAAATATTCTCCAAAACAATTGAAGAGGACGACATACTTTCTAACCCAGATATCAAAGCCAGAAAAAGACACTACAAGCAGACAAATATCCCATATGAACATTGATGCAAAAATCCTCAACAAAATACTAGGAAACGTAATTCAGGAACATATTAAAAGGATTATACATCATGGCCAAGTGGGATTTATTCCTGGAAGGCAGGAATGGTTCAATATAAAAAAATCAATTGATGTAATACTCCACATTAACAGAACAAAAGAAAGAAGCCACATGATTATCTCATTGATGCAGAGAAAGCATTTGACAAATTCAGTACCCAAAACAACTCAATAAATCAGTAACAAAAAGAAACTTTCTCACATAATAAAGGCCATATATGAAAAACTCCCAGCCTACATTATGCTCAATGGTGAAACACTTAAGTTTTTCCTCTAGATTTGAAACTAGACAAGGATGTCCACTTTGACCACTTCTTTTCAGCCTAGTATTGGAAGTTCCAGCTAGAGCATATAAAAAATATTCCCATGGAAATAATGAATTTGAGTTCTTACCTAACAAAATAGTTAAACATCAATTCAAACTGAATCAAAGACCTAAATGTGAGAGCAAAAACTATAAAACCCTTAGAAGAAAACAGGAGAAACGCCTCCTGACCTATGATTTGGCAAAGATTTCTAGGATATGGCACCAAATGCACAAACGACAAAATTAAAAATAGATTACACCAAATTTTAAAATTTCTGTGCATCAGAAGGCACTATCAAAACAGTAGAAAAAACAACCTAAACAACCTATAGAAAAGTATCTGTTCATGTCCTTCACCCACTTTTGAATGGGTTTGTTTGCTTTTTCTTGTAAATCTGTTTTAGTTCTTTGTAGATTCTGGATATTGGCCCTTTGTCAGATGGGTAGATTGCAAACATTTTTTCCCATTCTGTTGGTTGCCAGTTCACTCCAATGATTGTTTCTTTTGCTGTAAAGAAGCTCTGGAGTTTAATTAGGTCCCATTTGTCTATTTTGGCTTTTGTTGCCAATGCTTTTGGTGTTTTAGTCATGAAGTCCTTGCCTTTACCTAAGTCCTGAAAGGTTTTGCCTAGGTTTTCTTCTAGGGTTTTTATGGTGTTAGGTCTTATGTTTAAGTCTTTAATCCATGTGGAGTTAATTTTAGTGTAAGTTATCAAGAAGGGGTCCAGTTTCTGCTTTCTGTACATGGCTAGCCAGTTTTCCCAACACCATTTAAAAATGCTCATCATCACTGGTCATTAGAGAAATGCAAATCAAAACCACACTGAGATACTATCTCGTGCCAGTTAGAATGGCAATCATTAAAAAATCTGGAGACAACAGATGCTGGAGAGGATGTGGAGAAATAGAAACACTTTTATACTGTTGGTGGGAGTGTAAATTCTTTCAACCATTGTGGAAGACAGTGTGGTGATTCCTCAAGAACCTAGAAATAGAAATTCCATTTGACTCAGCAATCCCATTACTGGGTATATATCCAAAGGATTATAAATCATTCTATTATAAAGACACATGCACACATATGTTCATTAATGGCACTGTTTACAATAGCAAAGACCTGGAACCAACCCAAATGCCCATTGATGATAGACCGGACAAGGAAAATGTGGCACATATACACCATGGAATACTATGCAGCCATAAAGAATGATGAGTTCGTGTCCTTTGTAGGGTCATGGATGAATCTGGAAACCATCATTCTCAGCAAACTGACACAAGAACAGAAAATCAAACACCACATGTTCTCACTCTAGGCGGGTGTTGAATAATAAGAACACATGGACACAGGAGGGGAGCATCACACACTGTGATCTGTTTTGGGGGAATAGGGAAGGGACAGCATGGGGTAGGGAGATGGGGAGGGATAACATGGGGAGAAAGGCCAGATACAGGTGACGGGGGAATGGAGGCAGCAAACCACCTTGCCATGTATGTACTTATGCAACAATCCTGCATGTTCTGCACATGTACCCCAGAACCTAAAGTACAATAAAAATATAGATGTACATGAAAGGAAAAAACAACCTATAGAATGTGAGAATATTTGCAAATAATATATCTGATAACGGATTAATATTGAGAATACATAACAAATTCCTACAACTCAACAAAATAAAGACATATAACTCAATACTAAAAAGGGCTACAAATTTGAATAAACATTTCACCAAAGAAGGCATACATGTGGCCAGGAAACCTATGAAAAGATTGTCAAAACCACTATCCATTGGAGAAATGCAAATCAAGACCACAATGAGATATCATTTCCCACCTGTTAGAATGGCTATTATTAAAATTTTTTAAAATAAAGCCAAAAAAAACAAGGATTGATAAAGATGTTGAAAAATTGGAACCCTTGAGCATTGCTGGTAGGAATGTAAAATCGTGCAGTCTGTGGAAAATAGGTGATGGCTCCTTAAAAATTTAAACATAGAGGCCGGGCGTGATGGCTCAAGCCTGTAATCCCAGCACTTTGGGAGGCCGAGGCTGGTGGATCATGAGGTCAAGAGATCGAGACCATCCTGGCCAACATGGTGAAACCCCGTCTCTACTAAAAATACAAAAAAATTAGCTGTACATGGTGGCATGTGCCTGTAATCCCAGCTATTCAGGAGGCTGAGGCAGGAGAATTGCCTGAACCCAGGAGGCGGAGGTTGCGGTGAGCCGAGATCATGCCATTGCACTCCAGCCTGGGCACCAAGAGTGAAACTCCGTCTCAAAAAAAAAAAAAAATGTAAACATAGAATTACCAGATGATTCAGCAATTTTATCTTAAGTATATACCAAAAATAAATTGAAAGCAGAGATTCAGATACTTGTACAAAAATATTCATAGCAGCATTATTAACCAAAGCCAAAAGGTGAAAATAACTCAAATGTCCATTAACAAATAAATGGGTAAACAAAATGTGATATAAACTTACAATGGAACATTTGGTTTTAATAATACAATTCTAATACATGATAAAAAATTAATGAACTTTAATAAAATTATGTTAAGTAAAATATATAGACATAACAGGACAGATTATTATATGATTTTATTTACATTAGGAACTCTAGAATAGGCAAATTGTAGAGACAGAGTAGAATAGAGGTTACCAGGGGCTGAGGGCTGTAAAGAATGGGGAATTCTTGCCTAACAGGTACATAGATCTGTTTGGGATGATTTTTAAGGTTCTGAAAATAGTTTTACAGCACCGTCAATATGTTTAATGCCACTGAAATTTGCACTTAAATATAGTTAAGACTGTAAATTTTATGTTAGATATACTTTACCACAATTTTTTAAACTTACCAAAATAGATAGAGACAATTAGTGAACTGGAATGTGAAGCCAGGGAATGCTCATGAAACAGATCATAAAATACCAAAAGACTCAAAGCATGAAATAAACAATAGGGCATATTTACAATAAAATCAGAAATTCCAGTGTCTACCTAATAAAAATTTCAGTTTAAAAATGGAGAGAGTGAATGAATGTACAAACAAAAATTTGTTTTAAGCTTTTCAAAACCAATTGGAAATTAGATAAACTCACTTATTCAAAAGCAGCAAGTTTTATATTAGACCAAAAAACTTTTAGTTAGATAATATTTATAAGACATATATTTAATACAAAATGAAATCTTAAAATTATGTATGTATATATGCATATTTAATGGATATTTAAGTTCATTTGTGTATATTAATGCAAAGGAAGTATATAAATGTTATTTAGACAAAATACATTATAAAAAATAAATATGCTGAGACTAGAGTCATATCCTGACACAACTCTTGTCCTGGTGTGCTAGAGTACTTGGAGAGAATAATCTACTGGTCTTGATTTATTGATGAGGGCAGTCAGTGTTCCCATTAGTGCCCAGATCAGAAATATACATTAAAAAATAAAAAATAATAAATAATAAAATAATTTAGGCACATACTGATGAAAAGATAAAATTTATAAAAATATGCTACAATCTTTAATTGTAACATAACTAATCGTATATCACTAAAGTATATAAAACAGAGATTACATAAATAAGAAGAAAAATTGACAAATCCCCAATTACTGAGAAAAACTTTTAAACATTCCTTTTAGAGAGCAACAATTTAAAAGGAATTGTTTTTGCACAATTCCTTTTACACACCTGTGCAAAGCTAGAGCCTATATGAACTAAACATTATATTAAGACATATGTAGAATCCTGAATGTAGCAAAGAAAGACCATGCCTTATTTTCAAACACAAAGTAATAGTCACAAATACCATAGTTAACAATAATATACAGTTTAAATAGCTAGAGGGAGGATATTCAGTGTTCCTGACACAAAGAAATGATGAATGTTTTAGATGATGTCCATGTGAATTACATTGATCTGATCACTAAGTAGTATATATATCAAAACATGACTATGTACCCCCTGTAAATATGTACATTTATTACTTGTAAAATTAAAAAATAAATTAGGATTTTAAAATTTAAAATGTAATATAATGTAGCCTGAGTAATAGAAAGGAAAAAGAGTAAAAATGAATGAGCAGAGCCTTACAGAACCATAGGACACCATCCAGCATAACAACATACACATAATAGGAATAACAGAGGGAGAGTAGAGAGAGAAAGTAACAGAAAGAATATCTGAAGAAATAATAGCTAAATTAGAAATCCCTAATTTAGAAATCCCTAAGTTTTATATTAAAAAATTCATCTACACATCCAAGAAGCTCAGTGGACTTTACATAAGATTACAGCTAAAGAGATCAACCTCTAGACAAACCAAATTGAACTGGTAAGACAAACACAAAGAGAGAGTCTTAAAAGCAGTAAGAGAGAAGCAACTCATCATGACCAAGGACCCCTAATAAGATAAATAGCTGATTTATCAGGAAAAACTATGAAGGCTAGAGGACAGTCAGATGACTTATTCAAAATGCTGAGATAATAATACTTTCAGTCAAGAATTTTATACCTAACAAAACTATTCTTCAAAAATGAAAGAAATCAAGGCACTTACAGCTAAACAAAAACTGAACAAAAACTGAAGTCATGTATAATTAGTAGACCTCCCCAACAAGAGAAACAAAAGGAAATTCCTCAGATTGAAAGGAAAGGTCACAAAACCGTAATTGGAATTCACATGAAAAGATAAAGGACACCAACGAAGTTGCCTATGCAGATAAATATAGAAGATACTATCAATTCCCTTTGAAACTATTTTTTTCTATCTGATTTAAAATACAACCGCATAAAGCAATGATTACAAATTTGTGTTGATGGCCACAACGATGTAATCTTTTATCATAACAGTATAAAAAGGAAAAATAGATCTGTATAAAAATGACATTTTTGTTGTTTTTAAACATAGAATTAACATAAGACACAGAAATTTCACTATTAAGTTTATACTCAAAAGAATTGAAAGCAGAGACTTAAACAGATACGTGTACCACAGTGTTCATAACAGCATTATCAACCAAAGCCAAAACGTAGAAACAACTCAAACGTCCAACAACAAATAAGTGGATATACAAAATTTGGCAGAAACGTATTGAAATAAAGTTCACATTAATATGAAATAGATTGCTATAAATTAATATGTTAATTGCAATCATGAGAGCAACCCCAATAAAATATCTCAATAAATAGTCAAATAAATTATAGGAGAATGACAATGGTACACTAGAAATTATCTAGTATGCCAGAAAAAGCAGGAATGGAGAAATGGAGGAACAAAAAAGATGTAAGAAATATAAAAAACAAACAGCAAAATGAAAAAAGTAAGTCCTCTTTCATCAGTAATTTTATTAAATGTAAATGGACAAAACATTCTAATAAAGAGGCTGAGTATTGTGATTCATGCCTGTAATCCCAGCACTTTGGGAGGCTGAGGTGGGTGTATCACCTGAGGTTGGGAGATTGAGACCAGCCTAACCAACATAGAGAAACTCCATCTCTACTAAGAATACACAATTAGCCAGGCATGGTGGTTCATGCCTATAATCCCAACTACTCTGGAGTCTGAGGCAGAAGAATTTCTTGAACCCTGGAGGCAGAGGTTGCAGTGGGCTGAGATCCTGCCATTGCACTCCAGCCTGGGCAACAAGAGTGAAACCGTCTCAAAAAAAAAAATCTAATAAAGAGATTTGAAACTATAAGAGATTCATCTTAGATTCAAAGACAAATATATTGAAAGAGTTTATTTTCAATATACAAAGAATTGAAAAAGATATTCCACGCAAACAGTAACCAAAGGAAAGCTGAACTTGCTATGCTAATATCAAACAAAATAGAATTTATGACAAAAGTTGAAAATAGAGGAAAAGAAGAAAATTTTATAACAAAATTGTTAATCTGTCAAGAAGATATAGCCATTATACCATATATGCACCTGACTATAGAGCCCCAAAACACATGAAGCAAAACCTGACAAAATTGGAGGAATAGACAATTCAACAATATGAATTGGCAATTTTAATATGGGTCGCTTGTCCTTTATTCAAAATGCTTGGGACTGGAAGTGTTTCAAGTTTTAGATTTTTTAGTCTTTGGAATATTCACATTATTCTTACTGGTTGAGCATCCCAAATCCAAAAGTATCAAAATTAACATGCTCCAGTGAGCTCCTTTGAGCATCATATTGGTACTCAAGAAGTTTCTAATTTTGAAGGAGTTCAGATTCTGGATTCTTTGATTTGGGATGATCAACCTGTACTTCATTGTCAGTAATGCATATGCACAGAACAACCAGGCAAAAAATAAGGAAGGATTAGCTGGGTGTGATGGTGCACACTTGTAATCCCAGCTACTTGGGAGGCTGGGGCAGGAGAATTGCTTGAACTCAGGAGGCAGAGGTTGCAGTGAGCCAAGATTGTGCCACTGCACTCCAGCCTGGGAGGTAGAGGGTGACTCCATCTCCCCCACTCCCCCAAAAAAGTATAATGGTAGTTGTATAAGGTATTTGTAGATGAGGTTTATGAGGTTGCTATGGCAGTTTCCTTCTATTCTTGATCTCAAAACTCTCTAAAAAGCTACAAAAATGAAAAGTGTGTTCCTGGCATAAACATAGACATACAAATCAATGAATTAGCGCTAAAATTCCAGAAATAAACCCACACATTATTGGTCAATTGATTATCAATAATGGAGTCAAGACAATTCAATTTAGAAAAGAATCATCTTTTCAACAAATAATGCTGGGGTAACTGGATATCTACAAACAAAAGAATAAATCTGAATCCTATCTAATGCCACATACAAAAATGAATATAGGGGAGGGGATCCAAGATGGCTGAATAGATACACCTCCAGTGCACAACACCCAGCGAGAGAGACACAGAAATCCAGAGATCTCCTAGCTCCAACAGAGGTACCAGGTGCATTTCAATGGGTCTGGTCTGATGGTGAGCAAAGCCCACTCGGGGCAGTCCAAGGCAGGGAGGGGTGCTGCTTCACCCAGAAAGTGCATATGACCAGTGAGTCAGAGGCTCCCCCTCTGGCACTCCAGTCCAGATACAGCACTTCCTCCAAAGCCTCAGCAATACACAGAACAGGAGATCTTTGCCAGTCAAGCACTGGGAATTAAAAGTGCAGAGTTGAATAATAACCCAGGATGGTGTCCCGGATTGGCACACAGACCAGACCTAAACAGAGGCGTAAGCCCAAATGGTGGCCAGGAGAACCTACGGACTGAGCTATTGCCCCCTCCACCCGCCCACAGAGAGAGGGAGCTGTAAGCAGGAGCAGCTTGGTGGGCCCCTACCTCATGACTGGAGAGAGAGGAAGCTGAAAGTGGGAGACAGCCAGGTGCTGCTGGGCGGGTCCCTACCCTCCCCCACAAACCCCAGAGGACCGAAGCTCTGACTCTAGTGGGTTGCAGAGCCAGTGCCACAGTCTGAGCTGAACCCTGAATGATCCAGCCTAGTGGAGGAAGGGCACAACCCACCACTAGAGGGGTGGGACTGGGCTGCATGTTTTAACAAAAAGCACAGGAAGTCCACGTAGCAATGGGACCGTGTTCTTGACAACACAGCTATGCCTACAGGTCAGTGGAAGAGGCTGGCCTAATCTCCCAATAGAAACAAAAAAGACACAGGAAGCTTCCCTAGTAACCTGAAGGAGTGCCTAGAAACCCAGTAGCGCCTCCACAGGCAGACAAGCAATCTCATCAAGCAGCTCCCTGACAACACAGCCAGGTAAACCCACAAAGATGGGGAAAAACCAGCGCAAAAAGGATGACACCATCAAAGACCAGAACACATCTTCTCCTTCAAGGGATCACAACTCCTCAACAACACAGGATCACATCATGACTGAGAAGGAGTGCAACAAATTGACAGAAACAGGCTTCAGAAGGTGGGTAATAACAAACTTTTCTGAGCTAAAGGAACATGTTCTAACTCAATGCAAAGAAACCAAAAACCTTGAAAAAAGGTTAGACGAGATGCTAACTAGAATAACCAGCTTAGAGAAGAACATAAAGGACTTGATGGAGCTGAAAAACACAGCACAAGAAGTACGCGAAGCAAACGCAGGTTTTAATAGCTGAATTGATCAAGCAGAAGAAAGGATATCAGAGATTGAAGATCAACTCAATGAAATAAAAAGAGAAGGCCAGACAAGAGATAAAAAGAGTGAAAAGAAATGAACAAAGCCTCCAAGAAATATGTGATTATGTGAAAAGACCTAACCTATGCTTGATTGTTGTACCTGAATATGGTGGGGAGAATGAATCCAAGCTGGAAAACATGTTCTGGAATATTATCCAGGAGAACTTCCCAAGCCTAGCAAGGCAGTTCAAATTTCAAATTCAAGAAACACAAAGAACTCCACAAAGATATTCCTCAAGAAGAGCAACCCCAAAGCACATAATTGTCAGATTCACAAGGGTTGAAAT